AGGCCCCCCAATACGGTCCAAGAGGGCCCCGAGTCGCCGAAAGATCGTCCCAGGACGCGCACGATGGCCCCAAGACGGCTCATGAGGCCCCCAAGACGCCCCAAGAGGCCTCGAAGAGGCCTCCCAAGAAGGCCCCAAGAAGCCAAAATCATTGATTTTCCTTCAGCTCTTGAAGAAGTTTGGCATTCTCGCCGTTTCGGCTCCCCGACGCTCCAAGACGGCCCACGAGGCCTTCAAGACCGCCCCAAGACGGCCCAAGAGGCCGCCAAGACGCCCCAAACACTGCCCAAGAGGGCCCCGAGAGAGACGACCCAAGAGAGCATCAAGATGGCCCAAGAGGCGCTCAAGACAGCCCAGAAGAGCCCAATAGAAGGAGCACGAACCGAAAATCTGAGCCTGCCGCCCCAAGAGGCCCCCAGGAGGCCCCCAAGAGGCGCCCAAGAGGTTGTTTTTTTTCCCTGGAGAAGCGCGAAAGCGCAGAGGCGGGAGCGACTGTGCGCGGAAAGGAGCCACCCAATCCATGGGCGGCAGAATGGGGCCTCTCAAACGGAGAGACCCTCAAGCTCCCAAATCCGCCACCCTAGAGGGTTAGAAGGACCTCTTGGTGGCGCAAACGGCACGGGCAGTCTTTGCCCGTTGCTGAGGGAGCATACCGAGGAGGAGAGCCGAAAAGTTTTTCCGACCTCTCCTCGAAATGGGCCTGCATGGCTTCCCAAGTCCGTCAGAGCAGACCCGAAACCTCCCATATAGGCCACAAGAAGAACAAAAAACAGTCCCTTGAACTCCATTCTGGAGCTTGTGTGAAGGGTGGATCTCTCGCCCACAGAACACCGTAGGCTCAAGGACTCTCGACGACCCTACTTGGCACTGGGTGTTGAGAAACTCTAACGCAAACTTCCGAGCAGTACGTCCACCACGCACTGAGCATTGCCAAAACGACCTATGTGGATTCGGAATCTGGTGCTCAGTGCGACTGAGGGCTCGACTTAGCTTCAGAGCATCACGCTCGGGCTTTGAGAGCTTAAGACGTTCAACCTTTGGCCGCGGCGGGGGAGGAGAGCGGTGGGAAGCACAGTCGAGGAGAACAGACGCCAAATGTTTCCTGACAGCCGCCGCGACCTTGTCAACTAACTGGATCTTGGCCACCTGCGCATACGGAAGCTGGGCCTCCTCGGCAAAACACTCGGCCTTCTCATCCGCGCGCTGGTTGGCAAAAAATGAACGAGAGGGAAACCTTGCTCTAGGGCTCCGGCCTGCGTCAGGTGCGATTCAACCTTGAAAAGCCGCACGTCGAGCCCCGAGGAATTTCTGTACACCTCGTGGAATTGCAACCAATCCGAAACGTTGATCGTGGGAAACCCCCCTCGGGCGATGGCGGCAAAACCTCGAATCACGTAAGCACTGTCAGTCACGAAATGCCTCTGTACACGGTCTGAGAGGGACTGGGTTGCCTGTAAAGTGGTGAAGGCCCTGAGCTCTCCCCTATTGACAGACTGTTTGAGCTCCAACGGGCCTCCCCAAGAATGTGATTCAATGATCGGCTCACGCGCTAGGTGCGCGCCGTCGGGAAAATAAGGGTTGACCACCCTATGCGGCGCAAACGTGGGCCAGCTGAGTGGACCCCCCCCCCCCCGCTGGCATCACCAGCTCCAAACACCACCCCACTCCGAAACTCTGCCTCAGAGGTCGAGAGAGAGAGGTCGAGGAGGGGAGGATCATCACTAGGGGGGTCCACTTCAACCCAAGAGCCTGGCACAATGCCGCGGTGCCAGAAACAGTGTAAGACCTCACAATCATGCAGCGCTCGGTCAATGACCGCTCTCGGGGCCACGCCCTCTAAAGAAACATTACAGGGACACTCCCAGTGGGCGTGACGAGGAGTCTCGGGGACCTCTTTGCATCTGGGACAGATAGGGTCCGCCCCAGGAAAACACTCATGCACACGCTGCGCAGGCCACAGACTTCCTGTGGCGATGGCCTGGTGGATCCCAAAGAGCACGAACTCTCCCTTCCGCTTGAGGCTCCTCAAGAACTTCCTCAAGGGTCCCAGGTCAGGAATCCCTTGGTCGAGACCCAGCCCAAGATACTCCTCAGAGGCCGCAGTCCAAAGCGACCGCTGGATAGACAGGGAAAAAACGTGTTTCAAATCAGAAAAGTCAAGGTCCCGAACTGTGTGCTTCTCAGGCGGAGCAAAAAACTCTATGCCATCAGGGCTCACCCATCTCCAAGGGCCTCGAGGCCCCCAGGAATAACGCAAAAGAAGGAAAACAGTAGCGGAACAAATGCCTCAGGCATGGCGGGCCCAAGTGCGCTTTGGTCTGGCAGCAAAATCCTTCACGATACGAGCCCATGTCAACTCAATGAGCTTCCGTTCGACGTTGGAGGCGGCCAGGAAAAGCGCCCAAGAGTTGATGACATCCATGGCCGTGGAGATGGCGGGGTCGGCGGGGCCCATGTCCAGCTGGAGCTGCGTGGTGAGCGAGCGCTGGGTGCTCCCCTTGCGCAAAATGCGACCAAGAGCTCTGCGCCAGCTTGTGAGGACCGAAGGTGGAGTACCGTAGAGCTTTCCAGCATAGGAGACGCAAGGGAGAGCGGCAGTAGTGGCAAGACGAAGCCCAATGCGGCGGTGGGCAAGGGTACTCCTTCCAATACACGCAATTCGATGAAACCTGAACTTCGCTTTGTCGGCTCGCTTTTTGTGCTTGGTCTGCCCCATGCGGATGCTACCTCGATCAAAGCCCAGGTCCATCACTCGATCATTAAATGGTACAATAAGCCCCAGCTGCTTCAAATTGGACTCCAGAGCCATGCCTGCCAGCGGCGAAGAGCTGAGAATAGTAGACTTCGGAGACGTAACTAGGTCTAACTCCTTGCAGTCATCACGAAGGATAGTAGCAACCTTCGTTAACTGAGCGACGGCAAACTTCTTGGGGGCAACTATGCGCGCGTTGACATCGTCCACCCAAGATCTCACTGTGACAGGGCGATGCGCTTCACACATGCGCTCCAACGTCCGATACATAATGCAACGTGAGAGATCCACCGCGGAGCGCAGCCCAGCAACCATGGCCCGTTGGGGTAAGATGGGCTGCGAGAAATGTCCAGATTCTTTAAGTATCCTGGGGGCGAAACACTGCTGCATAGTAAGAGCCAGGGTATGCGGAGGAAAACTTTTGTCCTGGGCCGTGTTGGTCAGAGCAATCCAGTCCAAAGAATCATTAAAAGCCTTGGGGCCCCAAAGAACTTCAATGTGAACGAGGTCTTTGAGTGGAGACATCCTGACTGCCTCGTCGCCGAAGCAGCGAAGCAAGACAGCTCGAAGAGATGACGAACCAGCGATGACCCCATCCCAGTGGCCAGCTGCCTGTCGGCACCATTCTCGATCCAATGGGCTCCTGATGGCGCCCCAGATTCGGACCAAGAGTGATGCAACTCCGATCGCCCTGTCATCGCCAGCAGACTTGGGAAGCAAGCTGATGAAAACAGTGAGCAGCTGCCATGGCCATGAGACGCATCGCTCCACCTGGTGGTAGATCTCAATCAAGTCCTGGATGGCGGAGTCGGGCAAGCGGCGGAGGTCAGCGATGCTGAGAGCCTCGCAACCCTTGGCCTTCTTCGGAGAAAGATTCTGCAAGATGGTTCTGACCTGAGGTACAGTGATCGGGTCCAGGTCCTTGGCCTTCTGACGCACCTTCTCATACGCCATTAGGATCTTCGCCTTGTCGAAACGTCGGCTAGACCAAACTTTCTCCCACCACTGCTTCTTTGATGTCATGATGTCAAGAGGAGTTGCCAAGGTTCCTTGAACTACCCGAATCCCATTCAGGGTGACAGTAGGGTGACGGATGAAATCGTAGAGCTTGCCTGGGGCGGTGGAAGACATTGTCAAAAACCCAGGAATCAAAACCACGTCTTGCAGCTGAAGCAAAGAAACGTTGAGCACGGACAGCATTGTTGGCCACCGTGGTCTTTAATTCCTCAAGCTGCACCAAACTGCACTCATGAACTCGGTGTAGAGTGGAGGTCCACTTCCGACGAGCGGCGGCCGTGAGTGGGAGCGAGGCCGAGGTGGGCATAGCGAGGGCTAGGTCCTTGATGCGGGACTGGATGAAGGTGGTCTTGGAGGAATCCGCACGCTTCCTGAGCAAATCCTCGAAGAGGGCCAGGAGAACAGCCCACCACTTTGTCGCTGGGTCCACCTGCACGGCGCACTGCCTAGGGGCTTTGATGGGCGCCACACGGAAACGCCGAGCCTCAGCCCGTCCCACATAAGCTCTGGCAGAATGCGGTGGGATCGCGAGCGTCTGGATAAAGAAATGTTCCAGAGCCGATACCCAGTGTCCGCACTGCTGCCCCATATGAAATGCATCAGAAGATGGAACTTCGCAAGCGAGAGATCTGGAGATGAAATCCGCAGGCTGACCAGAAACCAGGTCTCTCGAAGAGAAAATTTCATTCCAAATATCGCCCCGAGGGCGTCTGTGCGCCTGGTCAACCCCATCCTGGAGAGAGGGTTCCTCCAAGGGCTCCTCGGGTAGAGTAGACTCTGCACCGTCAGCCGCCGGGACCTCAAGCGCCTCCTCCATCGAAACCTGTTGGAAATCAGGTGGGAGGTCCTCCTCGTACTCATTGGCGGAGGACTCTTCCCCCAGGTCAGCAAAGGTCAATCTCGGAGGTGGTAGACCAGGAAGAGCGGGTCTGGCAGGCAGCTCAACCTCGACGGCTGCCCTCCTCTGCGAACTCCTGGTCCCAGCTGCGGTTCTCCTGGAAGGCTTGCTGTGTGGGTCGGCAGACTTGGAAGGCAGCGGCTGGCGGGTGAAAGGCTGCGGGAGAAAATACAAAAGGGCTTGAGCCAGTGCCGCACGTGCACGGATGCCAATCTTGAGACCAAAGTGCGCCTTGCCTGCAACAGAATTGCGGGCTACCACCACAGACGTGTCAGCGGTCAAACTGGAGCTAAGCAACCGAGCGTGGGGAGAGACAATGCCATAATCCAACACCGCGCCTGACCCAATAGTGCAAGTGTAGTCCACGTCCGTGGGAATGACGGGGACGCCTCCCAGCATCGTGGGCCAGCCCGACTGCATGAGCGTAGAAGGAGGAACGTTCCAATCAGCGAAGATGGCCCACGGGATGTCCAGACTCGTGATGAAACTCCCGAGGATGGCCAACTTCTGCAGGTTAACTCCTTTCAGGCCTATGCTAGAGGTCAAGTATGCGGAGACCAAACAGAGAGAGACTCCCTGGATGTGCCAGACCACAGGGACAAAGTCAAAGAAATCGATGTTTCCCTTGGTAGATGAGAGGTCCCGCATGCCAACCTGCTGGGCTTGATTCAGGGCCAGGTGCCTGAAGGAGGAAGTCATGAATGTGTTCTTGAACCCCAGCACTGCACCTCCAGAGAGAGCTGTTCGGTCAGTGGGTCGGGCAGGGGCACAAACCGCTGCGTAGCCGTTATTGCCCCAATGTCGCAAGAGGTCATCTGAATGCTCTGGGCCAGCATGCGTCTCCACCAAGAGGATGGCATCATACTGGCGCTGGTCAATGAGGCCTTTGGCGGAGGGGCCCCAAGTGGAAAGATTCCGAAAGTAAAGATGCCAAGTCTTCTCTTGATCCGAGTAGAGAGGCCCAACTACTGGAATAGAAAGAGAAGTCTTGTCGGATGAATTGAACAACCCTGGAAAGTAATCTGGATGCTGCTTACCTTCGTAAGTCACAGTGGATTTCCCACCAGCACCAGGTCGTCGTATGCGGGTGGCGATGGTGGCTGAGCTGTCAGGAGCTTGACTTCTCCTTATGCTGCTGCAGCCTGCGGGCTTTCTCCTGCTCGAAAGCTGCGGTAGCTGAGGGGGTCGCAGCCGTTGAGGAGCTTGAGTCAGCAGCGTCTTGTGATCCTCGAGCGGTCTGTGCCTCATCGTCAGCTCCTGGTGGGGTGGCAGTCGGCCCATCATCTGCTCGACGGCGTTTAGCAGCGAGACGTTCCATCTGTTGCTGGTGAGCCACCCGCGCTTTCTTAGCCTTGGCAGCAGCATCAGCGAATCGCTTCTTCGCGCCGTCCTGGAGGCCCTCGATGAGAGCCTCGCGGCGCTCCTCGGCCTGGCGGAGTTCATCCTCCCCAAGACCTTCCTCGCCGCCCATGGCGAAGACATCTCCAACATCAATGATGAAACCGTCGAGCTTGTCCTCCAGGAGCGCGGATAGGGACAGCGTGGGCTTGGGGTCGGGTGCCGTCGCAGTGGGGCGAACAGAGGCGGCGAGCTTGTCGTACTCCGCCTGGAGTGCATCCAATTGGGACTTACGCTCTTCCACGTGCGCCCAGTGCTGCTCCAGGTCCTGCTGCCACTTGTGATATTTGTCCATGGCCTTTTTGAGCTTGGCGTCCTGATGCGTGAGAGCCCAGCGGGCCTTGGACAGGCGAGACTCCAAAGGTGGCTCAGGTGGAGGGCCCTTGTCCAACTCATCCAGCCTCCGCTGGCACGCCAGAGCCAAAGCTGTTTGGCCGCACTTGTTGGATGAGGCAAGCATGGCCACCAACTCAGAACGTTCGAGCTGAGAGACATCGACTGGCTGAGCACCTGGAGGGGGGCCTCTGGCCCAGCTGGATTCTGGCACGAGAGAATTCTTCGCATTGTGGGAGACATCCTTGGGTTTCCATTCACCGCAATGCTTGCACCAAGCGAAAGACCCCAGGTTCTTTCCACATCTACACGAAAGGCATTTCCACATGGGGCCATTGTGACGGGGGCCCTTGGCGCCAAGACGAACCCAGGGCTTGTAGGTCCAACTCCAATCTGCAGAAGAACCGTGGTCAGCAGACGGAGCCATGGCGCCCGAGAGAACAGAAGAGAAAGGGACGTAGTGGAAAGTGGGCCGAGGCCCTTCTTCGAGAAAGAATTGCTGAAACGCTGAAAGCCTCGTCTGACCAAGCAGCGAGGCGTGACGTTGGGGGCCGTCACTCCCCCGTGCCAGTGAGGTCAGGTCCTGTGCCAAAACACTCCGGACTTGAGCCAAAATGGCTACGGAGAGAGAGGCGCCCAAGAGGTCTCAAGAGGCCCCCAAGAGGCCCCAAAGAGGTCCAAAAGAGGCCCCCGGAGGCCCCAAAACGGTCCCAAAGAGGCGCCTGGCGTGCTGAACCCTACTGGTTTGGTTTTGTTTTTTTTGTCCAAAGGAACTCTCCCCTGGGGCTTCGGCGCGTCGCGCCGGCCACCGGGAAGACCTTGTTGCAAAATACTACCCTTCCAGATGGCTCCAGGATGGCCCAAGATGTCCTCCAAGACGGCCAAGATGGCCTCCAAGTTCGCCCAAGATGGTCCAAGATGCAAGCGAGTCTGAGATGCCTCCAAGTTCGCCCAAGATTCCACCAAGATGGCCCAAGATGGCCCATGACGGCCCAAGAGGTCCCCAAGAGGCCCGAACATACCACAACCATGTATTGCCCTTAGGCTTTTTTGCAGGATTGTGGCATTCGCTTCTTTTCGGCCTTCCGACGGCCCGAGACGGCCCAAGAGCTTCCAAAGATCGCCCCAAGATCGCCCAAGAGGCCTCCAAGATGGCCCCAGAACGGCGCAAGAGGCCCCCAAGTCGGCCACAAGAGGGCCCCAAGCCGGCACAAGAAGCCTCCAAGACGGCCTCCAAGACGGCCCTGGAGCACCCCAAGAGGGCCCCAAGTCGGCCCAGAGATGCCCCCAAGACGGCTTCCGACGGCGTCAGACGGGCCACGAAGCCACCAAGACGGCTCCAAGATGGCTCCAAAATGGCCCATGAGGCCTCCATGAGGGCCTTCAGGAAGGCCCGAACAGGCCAAAACCATTCATTGCCCTGAGGCGTTTGAAGGATGTTGGCATTTGCGTCTTTTCGGTCTTCCGACGGCCCGAGACGGCCCAAGAGCCCCCAAAGATTGCCCCAAGATCGCCCAAGAGGCCTCCAAGATGGCCCCAGAACGGCACAAGAGGCCCCCAAGTCGGCTCCAAGAGGGCCCCCAGCGGGCCCAAGAGGCCTCCAAGACGCCCAAGACGGCCTCTAAGATGGCCCTGGAGCACCCCAAGGGGGCCCCCAGTCTCCTCCTCCTGATCTTCCCCGCCATCCTCCCCCTAGTGCTCGTTCCCCGAAGAGTTCCCACACCAGCTGGGGGAACACATGGTCCGATAGCTTGGCAGAGCTCTTGCCACAACACTCGGCCACATGGGCGATTCCAAAAGGCAGGGGGCGGCGGTGATTCGCCGTAGGTGTCTTCGAGCCGCCGCCCCCCGTTGGCTTGTCGCACGATTGCCCGGCGTGCTGAATTTCGTCCGGCGTGGCTTCGGTTCTTGTCAAAAAGAACAACTCCCTCTGGGGTTTCGGCCCATTGCGCCGGGGTGCCCCTCCCGTCTGCTTTTTCTGTCAAGATTGCCACAATATGCCAAGATGCTTCCAAGACGGCCTCCATGACGGCGAAGATGCTTCCACGACGGCCAAGACGGCCCCAGGAGAGCCCAAGATAAACCAAAGATGGCAAGATGGTCCCGGGGTGCCTCCAAAATCGCCAGGATGGTCCAAGAGAGCCAAACACAGCCCAAGAAACGCCCAAGATCGCCCCAAGCTCGCTCAAGAGGCCTCCATGACGGCCCAAAGGTCCCCAAGACGGCCACGATAAGGCCCCAAGACGGCCCAAGAGGCCTCCAAGACGCCCGTGGTGGCCTCCAAGACGGCTGAAACGCCCCCCAAAAGGCCCGCAGAGGCTTCCAACAGGCTTCCGAGAGGCCCACAAGAAACTCCCAAAGGCCCCAAGGGTTCTCCTCCTCCTCCTCCTCCTCCTCGGCCTCCTCCTCCTCCTCCTCCTCCTCCTCCTCCTCCTCCTCCTTCTCCTTCTCCTCCTCCTCCTCCTCCTCCTCCTCCACCTCTTCCTCTTCCTCTTCCTCTTCCTCCTCCTCTCCCTCTCGTCCTCCTCCTCCTCATCATCCTCTCTGTTTGTCCGCCCTCTCCTCCGCTTCTTTCTCAAACGCGTTTTCCCCGAAGAGTTCCGACACCAGCTGGGGGAACACATGGTCCGATAGCTTGGCAGAACTCTTGCCACAACACTCGGCCACATGGGCGATTGCAAAAGGCAGGGGGCGGCGGTGATTCGCCGTAGGAGTCTTCGAACAAATGTTGTAGAAGCCTACGAAGAGGGGATTTGAAGGGGGATGTATTACAACATCGCTGCTGCGTCTTGGGTTTACCCTTGTCCTCCTCCTCCTCCCCTTCTCCTCCTCATCCTCCTCCTCCACCACCTCCTCAGCTTCACCCGCCTCAAGTGCAGGGAACAAAGCAGAGAAGGGCTGAACGCTCTTGAGAAACACAACTAAAACGAAATCACCAACTCGGAAGTGGGGGCAAAACTCACCAACCTACGCAAGAATCCCGCTAGATCCGCGCGGGCATGCTGGGGCTACCTCACCCAATAGTCGCCCCCCTCCTCTCCAGCCCCGCCTCCCTCCCATTCCCCCCCCTCACCCTCCCCTACGCACTTCCCCCTGATCATTCCCCCTCCTCTTCCTTCTCGTCTTCGCCCCTCCCCTTCGCGGGTGTTGCTAGGAGTACCCCTAGCCCAAGGTGCCCCCAGGATTTCCAAGGAGGCCCGACCTCCGCTGCGGAGCATGGCTCGGTCAGGAGGGGCTTCTGGTGGCCCCCCGTGTTGGAGCGGCAGCCTCGGCGGAGGCACGCCGGAGACCTCTTGAGGGGGGGGCAGAAGTCCACGCGAGGGGGAGACTTCGGCACAGCGGAGCTTGTGCCAGCTTAAAGCATGGCTCGAGGAGTGCGAAGGATACATGGAGAGGGAAAGCGAGGGGGTAGCAGGGGTGCGAAGAGAGAAGGAAGGGAAGGAAGAGCGGGACGGAGGGAAACTGATGAAGGGGGGACAAGGGGGGAAGGGAGGCGAGGGGTTGAGGGAACTGAGGAGAGGATGAAGGCAGGAAACCGTATCGAGTGACTGCTGCTACGGTCGCATGTTTCGAATCCGAGTGCCAGCCCCGCGTTTCAGCATCTTACTACCTAGGCTCTTTCGCTTTCATGCAATCGAGCTTGCGTCCGCACTCCTACAGGGCCTTGAGGCCGTGACAGATGCCGCAGCAGCTGCTGGATCTCTCCTGGAGGCCGTGCCAAACCGCTCTCGTGGAAACCGAGCCAAGCGCCATCCCTCCGCGTCGGCGGCAAAATCGCGACGTGACGAACCAAGCGCTGGTTTCCGCCATCGCGTGGACCAGTCATTCTTGAACGATCGCGCCTTCCCGAGACGCCAGAAGGTTCAACGGCGGGAGAGCCCAAGCCGATGGAGGCGTTCAACCTTGAACGCCCGCGCCTGGATCGCCGTCGCGTCAACACGGCACGAACCTACCGTACACATGCTGGCATTGCACGTGCACTGCAGGATCTTTGACTGCCCTGGAGACCGTGCCGACCACCTTCGCGGAGCTGGCGTTCCGGTCAGGCGCACGGCTCAGAACCTCAGTGGTCCAGCCAACCGCGTCGCAGATCCGCAGGCCCCGATCTGCCCCGACCAGAGCGGAGGAGCAGCAGCAGGGGCAATCTTGGGGCCGCCCTGCGGCAATCTAGAAGCTACGCCAAGATCATGCAGTTATCGTTGGGCCCCCTGGGAGCCGCCCCAGGGGAATTGTCAGGTCGCTTCGAGGTCACCGTGAAACCGTCTTTGGGCTTGAGGTCGCGGAGTCGCCTTGGCATCGTATTGACATCGTCTTGGATCGCAAGTAGTACCTCACAGAATGCTTGCGACTTGCGAAGCGCGGAGGGTTGTCGAGCACTGAAGCCTACCTGCCACGACGCGGCCAGCAGTTCTGCCGGCCGCAGCTTAATACGCCGCGAGGCGACAACAGCCCGACCCAAAGATCTCGGCGCCGAAACCTTGTTGCCACATGGAGGAGGGCGGAGGGAGGACGAGGAGGCCGTCCTCCTCAGCAACAGCAGAAGGATGATCAGCGCGAAGAGAGGAGACGGGAAGGGAGGGTTAGGAGTCAGGAGGAGGAGGAGGCGGAGGAGGGGGAGGGGAAGGAGGAGGAGGAGGATGAGGAGGATGACCCGCGGCCCGCAGCCATAGTCGCGGGGAACCCCAACCCGCGCCCTGCGCCCAGCCTCCCCCTGCGAGGTCAAGCGCACCACCACCAGCAGTACTTATAGTCTCTTTGGTGGAATTGTGGGCCTGGAGTGCCAGCAGCAGTCAGTATCAAGCGACCAAGGTCGCCAGCCTGGCATAGGAGGACGAGACGGACGAGGGCATCTGCCAGAGTTCTCCTACGATTGCACAAAGCAGCGACACTACTACGACTACATCACTCAGCAATGGCCAGCCCTGGAGAACAGCGTCAGCGTTCCAACTCCCGAAGGCAGAGACAGCATTCACAAACGCGAGGGCAGCGTGATTCACTGGGTGGACGGCATGAAGGCAGATGGAAGTGCAGTACGTGTGGATTGTCAAACCCCTGGTCATGCAACAGGTGCTCATGTTGGACAAGGGGACAAGCAGGGCAGAGACAACACACTCCCAGGGGCAACAG